ACAAAACCACTCAAACCTATGATTTCCCTACTGCAGACTGAAATTTATCAGCCAGAGAAGGTGTGCCCCAGTAAAGGCTGTCCCCCATAACTGTTTTGAGAGTTTGATTCTGGTCTTTCTGCTCTTTTTCTTGCCATTTCAAAAACAGTTCTCTCTTTACTGCTGTTATACTCTGTTGGGTCAGTTGGAGGTTTCTTATTCCAAGTGGAATAATTTCTGTTTGGTAAATCAGAGTATGACCTCCAGATAACTTCCTTGTCTATATAGCCCCCACATTTCCATTGTATTCATATTTCATCTCATGTCCCTTAATGAGAGCCAACACTGAACCCACAGGATTGGTACAGCCAGAGCTCCTAGTAGTCAGTCTTTGCTGTCTTACATCCTACACCATCAGCCCCCATGCTCCCATGGCAAGCCTGGCAGAATAAGGTGTGTATTTTGTGGGTATCTAGGGTGTTGTGCTCACATGTGAACACACCTCTTTAAATGCTTGGGAGTTAAATCAAAGTGAAAACAGTCCTGCAATCAGGGATGTGCTCAGCTCAGTCCAACAGACCATGGCTAAAACAGGGGAAGGCAGAAGTTGTGGTGTGAGGGTGCCCAAGCCCATAAAGCAGTTTTTCTTACTGGGAACTGGGGCAGTATTCTAGATGCTGCAGGGGGAATTGGCTCTTCATATCATCTTCCCCTAGAGAAACAACCCTTGTGTCCTTCTTTTGGGTAGGAATGCTGCACACATCCCAGATTTCTCACTGGATTCTGGGTCTTGTAGTTCAGGTCTTGGGTGGGAAAAGATGTTCCATCAAGTTCTGGGAGAAACCACTACAGCTTCTGCCTTTTGCCTTATGATACCTTTGCTGGATTTGGGGAAGGGAAAAGCAAAGACAGTATCAGTAGAGTCTTTTCAAATGCCTTTGACTTTTTCTGCCTGTTCACTTGGAATATACAAGGGGGGGAAATGACTATTTTCAGTGAACAATTGGTCTTGTGTACTTAATCTAAGATGTTCTTTCAGTGTGCCTAGCTAACTAACCAACTTCTATAAACTCTGACTCTCAGAAATTACTTCTTTATCTAAAAAGCCTTCTTGTAGTCTCTCCCACAACTTGGCTTCAACTCTTACCCATCTGATTCTGGATTGCTGCCTTGAGCTTATCATCTGCCTGTTTGATCCATGAACCTGCTTCTTGCCTGCTTACGTCTGACAGCCAAATCACCCTAAGTCTCAAAACCTCCTTGGCTGAGGCTTGACCTTTGTCTAGGCCAGATACTATGATTGCTTGACTTAGCCTTCTATTAGATTCCAAGCTATAAAAGCTTGGCACATTGTAATCAGACAGACAGGAAGAGAAAACACCCTAACTATGGTTTGTTGGGTGCAGATGCAATGTTTAAACCTGGTGAATGCAAATCAGGATCTGCAAACCCACTTCAAACCCATGGTTTTGCATGTTTGGTTGCAGTCAGTTCTTGACTGGGGTCAATGCATATTGCTGAGCATACTCTTGATTTGGGCTTCTCTGTGAAGCAGTTTAATGATTTTGGATTTTTTAAACAGAACAGTGGTAAAAGACAGAATATTTTGCTCTGTATTTCTGTTTAGACATCAAATTAATATTTATATAATAACTGTTTTCTTTCCTTCCTTTTTTTCTCTTGCTGCCTGAAGGCCTGAGCTACAGTGTCTCAGTGGGATTTGGGAGTAGGTTCTGCTTGACATACATATTTTTAGTAACTAATCTTAGCGGTGCATTAAGTATTGTCACTGTATGTAAATAAATGGAAATGTTATCTGAATGTGGGTTTTTCCCCCCTGTATCTGTCAGATTAAGATGTTCAACTGAGTAAGTTAGATGGCCACAAGAGAAATAGAGATTACTGTGTAAAATTATTTTTAATTGGGAGAAATGGTAATAAAGAAGAATATGAAATAGTTCTGAACTTAAGGATTGCAAATTGTGCAGAAAGATGTGTCTTGTAATATTTTTTAAACCAACCATAATAAGCAGTAAATCAAGATTTTTTTTTCTCTTTAACTTGGCAATTAGGAGTATAGACAGCATGTATTACTACATTTTACTTCTGCTTGAATTTTAATTCTACAGTGTTGCTCTCTGGTTTCTGCCTCCCACAAGCAAGTACCCTGGAGTACGCAAACACTGACTGTGGACATATCTACAGCACAACCTTAAACGGGTTCAGCAGCGTGCAGTGTAGCTCTGCTCTTAGAGCTGCTGCACATGTTTCCCTCACCACAAGGATCCTGTTGTGATATTGATACCACCATGGAAAATGCATCCCTGCTACTGTCTGCTGCACTGCCCACATAGGTGGTCCTCTTGATACTACAAGCAGCCACATCCTTACTCCAAACTCCTAGCATTTGCTGGTAGACAAAGCTACTCATGATGTGGGGAGTGAGTACAGCGCATAGTAATAGGGCCCCTGTAGCTTAGTAGTTAAGAACAAGCTTTGCAGCAGGAAGGGCCCAGGTTCAGTCAATTGTCTCCAGGAGGATGCTCAGAGCAGGAAAGCCAGCGGTCTGACTCAATACAAAGCATACTTTCCAAGTATGCATTGGTGGAGTAGGCACATCGAAGCATTTATTGTGGAGGGATGTAGGTCCCCATGGAGATGCCATTTTAGGCAGAATCCCCGTGGAAAGGATATGATGTACAGCAGGGTTAGCGAGGATGAGGTTTGAAGAGCCTGTTTTGATTAGTTCTACAATTAAAATATTACCTAATGTACAGTGTTAATGATAGTGAGAAGGCAACCCAGATAGTGAGAATGTGATGAATGCTGAACACAGATCAGGGTTGGCAACCGGTGGCCCAGCACATGTTGCTGGACTACAGCTCCCATCTGCCAGCACAGCCAGTGGTGAGTGCTAATGGAGTTGCAATCCAATAAGGGCTGGAGGGCTGCAAGTTGCCCTGCTCTGATGCACATAGAAGCAAAAGTTCTCCTTGTATCCAGTTGATTGGTCCTCTTTTAATATTCATACATTTATTCCACTGTTTCTCTTTGTTATACCCTTCATCACCCCTCCGAACTAGTTTTAGGTTATTGCATATTCCTCCATCGAGTCTTGCAAAGGAAAGGCATGTTACATAGAAAATAGCAAAACAAGGGTGCCATCTGCTTGTGGTTTCCAAAGAGATTGCCCCCTGTCCGAATACATACTGTTAAAAAGAAAATTCCATCTTCTCCCTGCTTCTAAGAAGACTCCCCTTTGTCGAGGGAAATTTTGGGGATGTTTATAATTATTTTGCATTATGAACTCCCCCTACCCCCTGGAATCAACTCCCTTAGTCTGGGTGTGGCTTGAATTTGACTATGCTGCTTGTCTGCAGCAAGAGGGAGGTGTTTGATCTGGGGTAGGCACTGATTTTAATATTAACACTGGCAGAAATCCATTAGCATCAGCATTCTTGACTTCTCCTAAGCTAGCGCCTACAGGGCCATTTTGATAAACACTCTGTAGACACATAATTGTTTCTCTACCAGAAGGCTTATGGCTGTTTTCAAAAGTGACTCATGATGGTGGGGCGGGGGGGGGGGTTGCCTTTGGAGTAAGACAAGAAGCCGAATTTCAGAGAACAATGTCGATACATACTAAAGGTCTCCTTCGGGGTGTTTCAAGCTAGAAACAGAGCATTCCTAATTGTGTGTTAGAGATCTCAGGCAGCTAAAACAGCAACCGAAGTAATATCTGATAAAAATGAGGAACAGAAAAGGTCTAAATAGTATTTACTGGAGACTGGATCTTTAAAAAAAATGGGTTGCAGTACTGATTCAACCTTTATACACTGCTTTTCCTGGAGTCCTATTTCTTGGGGATCTCTGTCACCCTGATATATTCTTACATTACAGATGGAGCAGAGATTGAGCTCACCCTGTCAGTTCATGGATAATACGAAATTTGTGTTTGCAAGCAATAGCTTATACTCTTATCATTCCACACTGCACCATCTATTCCATCTTACACCTGTTGGATGTCCGTGGTCCATCCAAGTGATTTTTGAAAATCTTGATAATACCAAGCAAGCATCCTCCATCTAAAATCCTTAAGTGGCAGTTTCAGTGGAATATTTCCAATATAGACTGATCTTACAAAAAATTCTATCTTATTTTATCTTTCGGGAACACAAATCTGCCTCTTGAGGCCTTTTTTCCATGGAACAGGTTATGCTTGCTGGTTTGTTTTTCAAAGTGGTCCTGTGTATATATTCATGTACAGATCATACATTGGATACTACATACATTTGTTAAAAAATCCATCTATGTATAATTCACACATACACATACACAAATGCCTACAATACTGTATGTCTCTTGCACTGATTCAGGAAATGTTGCATGGACAGTACGTGAGGGTCACTTTAAAAAGGAAGCTGGAAAACAGATCATTAGTAATTAAGAAGATCTGGGTTGCTGAATTTGAAATCAAATTTATTTATGTTACTGTTTGTTTGTTTTGTTTAAATCATTTCTTTACTGTACCAAATTAGCCTGTCTAGGTCTATGACTTATACTTTGTGTGGGAAAGTATAGCATAACAACATGGCCTATCAAGGCAACCATTGATAGTGAAGTGTCAGTTCTGTGTATGTCTCCATATTCTTCAAATTGTACTTTAAATTATATCATTTGTATTAACAGTAAGCTTGCACTAGGCCTAATGTGGCCTGATTACAATTTAATATAGTCTCTGTGTCTCTGTGTGTGTGTGTTTCTCTTAACAAAGGATAAAACTGTCTTTTAACCAGATGTAATGATACAAAATGTATCTATTTGATTATATACAATTTAACTGTGGTATTTTGGCACATAGTCCAGTCTTTTTCTCTGCTGCGTAGCAGAGTCACTGAAACATGACTTTTGAAAGTTTCATTTTGGATAAAATAGATTACATTATATTTAATGTAATCTCTCTGTTTAAAATAATGCATTAAAAACATTTCCATTGTGTTTCCATTTCATCTAAATTGCAGGTGGTAATGATGTCCTAACATTCAGTGATCCTGCTCTTCCTGTTATACAGAGTTCTCAGTCACCATTGCTAACTTTCACTGATCAGCTGCTGCAGAAGACAGAAGGTAAACATCTGGGGCAGAGGGAAAACAGGGGATAAGCTACTTTGTCACTACTTTGTCTCGTGTGCGATACACCACAATATATAGCAGATTTTGCTAAAAGAGAAAGTTCCACCATTGTTTGTTCCCCAGCACCTCGGTTCCAAAAGTTTCAATTTTGCCCAAAAGAGAACTACTCAGATAGGGAATAATAGGTTGCAAGCATCTGTGAACCTTCTCTTATCAGCATGGGTGAAGGGAGAGGTTGCTACATTCTATTTTGTATGCATTAGGCTTTCAGGAAAAGTGAAAGCCACACATTTCCTACCCTGTTAATATCTAATCAGTTCTTTCCCATCAGTTATCTAATCAGCTATCCACTCACCAAAGTCCCCAGAAGCAATGGCCTTATATAGGAAGCACTGCATCTGTCAGAATAATACTCAGCCATCCATTTGTGCTTCCTAAGGTCTGGTGGAGTTTACACCCAAAATATGCATATGGTCTCCTCTTGCTCCCTGCAGTCCTTTTGTATGCAATATCCAGAGCTAACAGAGCTGAAGTCAGATCAAACTTCATTATTGCCATCTAGATCCTGCAATCTTTAATTTGTATTGGAGAAACACTTTCCTCAGAACTGAGAAGTAATTATTTTCAGATAAGTGTTTTTCCTCTGCCTTTATCTGTCCTATTTTTGCCATCCTTTTTTGGGGGGAAGGGGGGAGAGGGGATACTGTTCTGGGTTCTTCATGAAGAACTCAGGATTATGTTCTCAATACATTTCATACCGTATAGGTTCAAAGGGAATCTGCGGTTTGTCCATGCCTGTGTCTTCCCACCATAGCTTTTTCCTGCTGGGTTTTAGAGAAGACCAAGCTTATTATCCAAAAACTAGAGTGTCCTAGCCTACTGGAAAGGTGTTACCTGCAAACTCAGATGATCCCTTGGTTCACAGCAGACCCCTTGAGAAAATGTCCCATTTTCCCTAGAAGAGGCAGTATTGAAGCTCTAGCCTCATTTACCTTCCTGTTCCTGTCTCCTGTGTTGCTTTGCTGACTTTCCAAGCAGGTAGCCATGTCATCTCACTAAACTAAAAAATGCATAATGGGTGGTGGGTGGGTGGATAGATAGAGTAAATTTTAGGGGTAACTTAGAATTGATCAAGGAGCAGGCATTTGATGGTGTCTTGATTGCCCTTTCTCCTCTCCTGGTTCTCTCACAAGTGGCACTTCAGCTAGCAAAGCCCCTGTGATTACCTAGAAGAAAATGCGTGTTGGTGAGGGTGGGGGGAAACCATACCATTGACACTATGAACATTAAAGTTTAGGAATTAAAAATGTTTTGCAGCCTCTTTAAATTATGCCCATTGTAATATTTCAGGTATCCTTTATTCTGGCTCTGCCAGGCATGGATGGGTATGAGAAGCTGTGCTGAAGTCTCCCATCCCCATTCCTCTGTCCTGCATGTCTGCCAAGCCTCTAGAAATACAACAGGCATTGGCTCGCATTTCAAGCATATCATAACCTCAGAGGAAAGAAACAACCCTTTTTTAAATTAAAACAAAATTAGAAAGTTGCATTCTGTACCCTACCCCATACTCTGTGCTGCCATGCAGTCATAGCAGTCATGCAACCTGGCACACCAGAGATGTTCCATTCATGCTTGAGACTTTGTGTGCTAATGGTTCACTGATATTTGAAGGCACATTTCTTAGCCTTGGATGCCCTGTCATTTGTTTCTCAGTAAATATGACAGCATCAGGCTGGTAAGAAGGCTACCCTGATATCTAGGATATGCCCTTAACCTCCATGTTCCCTTATGGTATGTCTTATGTTTAATTTTTTAAATTAAAAATTAAAGAATGATCCAGATGTGCTACCACCAACAATTTAAAGTGCATGCAATTTTGGCTTTCCTTTCTAGACTATATTCAGACAGGTGGTTTCCATCACATACGGCTCACACTAATTCTTTACAGTAATTAGAACATGTTTGTTAATTTTTTAAAAATCTAATATCAGTTAAAATTTGACTGCAAGGTTCACTTTGTTCCATCAACAAGGCTTGTAAGAATGGTTGCCACTTTGCCACCTTCCTAATGGCATTGACTAAACTCTACACTAAACTCAATAAGAGAGAAGATAATAGGACTCATCAGAGAAAAATGTGTAAAAATGTAATCATAACCATGTCTGTTTTATTTTGGTTTAGTCAGCAGAAACTTTCCAATAACGGGACATTAATACCAGGGAATTTTTATCATTAACTTGTGTGATATCAGAATTATTAGTAATATTCTTTGTTCTGTGTTAAATTTGTCCATTTTTAGTTTCGTAACTTTCAGGTTTTTTTCTGTTAAATTGTGATGACTCAGAGTTATAAAAATAAACCTGAACTTAGCTGATTTGGTTCTGTGTGGATCAACTGATTTTCTTTTGTTCGCTAGTAGAACATAAGCTTCATTTCAAATAGCATGTTAAACATTCCATCATAGACTATTGCAAGCAGACCACCCCAATTATCTAAGAGGCTCAGGGGATAATCATGCCATCAATTTAGCAAGTAAGCAAAGTCCTCTTTCCTTACCTTCCTGCCATCTCTGAGTATGTTCTAAAAATCCAGCATTTAAAAATCAGAAGATGTTATTTTTGTATAAAGCTGTTTAATTTGCACAGTTCATTCCAAAACCGGGATTAGGACATGGAATGGAATAACAGGAGAGGCTGCAGGTAAGTAAATTGGTGCATATCAGTGGGCGGTATGCAGAACATGGAAGTGATGGTGCATTGTTCACTGGTAAAATGCATGCTTTGCATGCAGAAGGCCCCTGGCAACCTGCAAGATCTGTTCAAAGTTTTGCTTTTAAAATTTCAGTGGGAGAGTTGAACTTGGATTGTAAAAGCAGCTGTGTTGGCCTAGCTGTTGTGGAACTCACTGAAGTAGCAGAAGGCTTGTGAACAGGGAGAGAGATTGTGTAGCAAGACCAACTTGCACATGCAGTATGCCCAGACATGATGCCCTCTTGACCCATTTCATGGAACTGAATCAACTTTTCAGTCAGACCTTATCTATATTGTTAATTTACACAAGCTCTTTACCCAAACTCTGAGTCTGATATGATGCTGCAGGTGCGGGATACAGAACGCAGCATCATGAGAACCTCAGAGCTTCAGGCATTAGAACTTGCCAAGTTAACAGGATCTGAAGAAATCTGAAGAAAAGCATCCACCACCTTAGAGATTCATCTAAAAAAACCCTGTACATCTCTCATAGCATTCCCTCAGAGTGTAGGTGGGGAATTACATATTACATTTTCTTGCCTCAAAGTGTCCCTGTGTAGGGGAAAGGAAAAGGCTTCTCTTTGATTACTTATATGTATGCACAAGAGCTTCATGCAGGTAAGAGTCAGACATTTAAATCCCACACCTGCTTTTGAGGTGGTGTAGTCGGTGAGTTGGTATTCCAGGATTTTTCTTGAAATATTCTAGTGCTCATCTTTTGATGAGCAATTGACAAGTAATAGCAACACAGAGTACTTCATAAAGAGAGGTCATGTTGAAAAGTAAGTTAGGAACAACTCGTTATATTGACATTTTCCTTGCTATCCCTTTACTTATTATTTATTAAGTAGTTCTGTATTGCAAGTATGTCCAGTGGGAAATAAAACTGCCTTCTCTTCTTCCTTAATATATTGTATTCTTTCTATCCTTTAATTTGGTTTTTCAGTTTTTTGGGTTTTCTTTTCTATTTTCCTCCTCCCCACTCATTCCCCTTTTCATCTGCCCCTAAATATTAAAATGCAATAGTTAACTGTGGCAATCCTAATTAATACTCCAGAGATTTCAGACATCTTAGCTGTTACTTCAGGCTGTCTCCAGACTCAGTGTGATTGGTTATTTTGTTTTTTTTCTTAACTGTATCATAAATGAGCTGGAATCCACTGCAGTTACCTTCCCCACCATCCCGTCTCAATTGACTGAACTAATGCTTGCTTTATATCCATGTTTTGGGGCCACATTAGTGAATGACATTAGTGGCTCCAGGAATAGCATTGCGGATGCTCCTGTGACATTGCAAGTAATGGACCAATTGGACCTGACTAGACTTAAACGTTGAACAGGAAATGACATCCTGGCATGTGAGCCATTGGGCCACATCAGACATGCTCTTGGAATAATATGGCCATTCACTTCCTCCTGCTGCTCCTCTTTCTTCCTTCACTTGCATGCCATAATTGATCACTTGTGATTTGTTAAAAGCGTAGTTTTCCATTTCATTCAAACTAGGGAAATGCATTTTAATTTCAGACTACGCACCAAGTTATGCAAACAAATTCTGATCCAAGAGCAAGAGGGAGGGAGGAAAGAACATGTGGATACAATGCTCATTCTAGGTCTAACAAACCGCGCTTCATTACGTCAGGATTGCATCTGAAACAGCCTATTGAGTGGAATAGGAAAACTGACTTGATTGATTTAGAAATGCTCTTTGGATAGTTAAAGGAAGGAGAGAATATTTGAATTCAGAAGGTAAGAGAGGAAACATAGACATTGCACTTCTCCTCCTCGTCTTTTAAGCTTTGCCTGAAGAAGAGAGATCTGCATATAGGGAACTACATATGTTTGCCTCTGCTGACGAAACCCTTCCCAGTTCTTTCAAGACCTGCATTATGTATGTGCAGATTGCTTGTTCACAAACAGCCTGAAACTGTACATTATATCTACTGAAATGTGATACTTTCCCATTTTCCCTCTTGCTAGGAGAACAAACCAAGGAACTGGAGGAAATGTGCACTGTTAAAAGAGAATTGATATTTCCAGAGGAAACAGCTGTAGTTTCTGATGATTCCCATGCAAACCAAAACAACAGTAACAAAGCCAATCATTTTCATCCATCATTGTCCCAGTTTTCTTCTGAGGAAGAGGATGCAAATGGCTTTGGGAACAGTGCTGCTAAGCTGACAGTAGAACAGGCAGCTGTGGAACTGGAAGGGAGCCGAGCAGACTGTCTGACAGAGAGCCAAACAGCAGGTCAGCCAGAGCCCAGTAGACCACCGGAAGGAGAAATCCCCTTGTCCAGCCCTCATCCCTTGGACTCCACAGAACCATCCAGCCTGGAGAATGGACATGACAACAGCAGCCAGACTGTAGAAGGTGAGAGAGAAGCCTCAGAAAAGAACACTGAGGCCACTGGTGAGAAAAGGGATGTAAGAGGTGACACGGCAGGCATTAAAGTGGATGAAAAACCAGCTCTTCCACTGACAAACTTAAGTAACGTCCCGGATGAGAACCCTGAAGCGGTTTAGTGTTCGCAGCCTATACAATCAGTCATCCTGATCTCGACCCACTGTGAATGTTTGGACCATGAATTTGTTTGCTGAAGGAATGTTTGCTTCCTCAAGTTGCCTCCTTGTTTGTCTGCTGAAAGTATTTTTTTTCCTCGGTTCACTGGGTATGTAAAGACCAAACAACTCTAGATAAATATGAAAAGGGAGCAGGATTCAAATGAGGGCTTTCAAAATTCTGGCCTCTGCTATTTGCTGTGATTAACGTTATCAGATAGAGTGACATAATTGAGAGTAATGGGACTCAGCACCCATCATTATGCTGCATCGTGTCCGTGATCTCTCTGTCTCTTTGGTATGTATATTTTTGGCATAGTGCGTGCATGAATGTATCTTAAGAGTCTGAAATGTCAGGCAGAGGGGGAGTGTGTTGCGGTTTTGTTAAGCAGACAGAATCAGAATGATCACGTATAAAGGCTCCAAGGAGCTGGCTAGTTTGCTTTTCTGCTTTGTCCAAACAGGTTACTACTACCAATTATCAAACTGTATTGATTATAACTGGTTGCTGCCCATACACAGTCTCTGGCCACATGTCACAGGTTTTCTCTCTCTCACCTACCCATTTCACTGTTTTTCTTAAATAAGTACAATTGTGTTTTTTCCAGTAAGTACAATGGGACTGGAAGAACAGTGGAAAAGGATGCTGTGATCCCCCTACTGAAGTATGATCCCCCTAGTTTGCCTCTTCTCTTTGAGTGCCTCCCTTTTCCCTACACTCCACATTCTAGTTCTTTTCACTTCTAGTCTGTCTGCCTCCCTCTCTCTCCTCCACTTTTTTATTTCTGTATTCCACATAATGCTGGCTAACAGAGCCTTCAATTTTAATTTCCTTTAGCCCATTCATTTTTCTAGACTTGGCTTATACTTTGGGTGGTATTTGTTCCTACAGTCCATAAGCGGAAGCTGAGATCCTTTCATGTTAGAATAGCTTCCTTTGAACCTAAAGAAGGGAGAGTTGGAAGCTGGATGCCTTCTCTGCTTTTGTTTGGGCAATGTTAAACTTAAGTGAATATTTGTGAAGAAGGGAAGGTTGTCTTTTTTCCCCTACTGCTCCATTTGCCTTGTGGATGGGAGTTCAAATTACTTTCTTCATAGCCATTTCCCCTCTTAAATTCTTCCTGTGGTGGCAGTCAATTAACTTCCACTGGGAGAGATTCTTGCGGGCTTCCTGTGCCTCTTGCATAGCCTCATTCCAATGATACTGAAATGTTTCTCTGTGGTTCCTGGTAGGACAATGGCTGTGGAATATTTATTGTGGATATTTTGCAGCTGTTGAACTAAAGGGAGGTCTGATTTCAGTTGTTCTGTGTTTTTTGCTTTTTTTCCAAAATAGGAAGCAATCTCGGCAGCTGTAGAGCTTGTCTGGGCCTCCAGCCGTAGATGCAATTTTCCTGCTGGCTTGGGAACCTAATTGTCTGTAAATGTTCATTTCTCACTCTTAGAACTTAAAACCAATTGGAGAGAGGATTAATCCAAATTTAACAATGCCGCTCATAAGAAAGGAGGAAATTCTTCCTGTGTTGAGCCCTTATTTGACAAAATAAATATCTGCCAGCTGCACATTGTTACAGTCTGCTTGTTAGCAGGTTTGTATTGGAAACAATGGCAGAGCCAGCTCTTGGAAGCAAACTGAGCTAGCCAGCAAGCATTGCTTTGATCAGAGGACTCCAATGCAGAGGCAGCCTGTGCCCTACAGAAAGGTTCACAGGAACCCTCACAAGAGCCTCCACATGCTTAGAGTCCTCCAGCTGGCTATGCATTGTTACAGCTTTTCCCAGCCTGACTCCCAACAGCTCCAGCAAGAATGGGCAATGGCCAGAGACGGTGGCAGTTGAAGGCCAACATATTTGGAGAGCAGCAGATTGGGAAAGACTGACAGGCAGCTAGTGAGGCCCTGCTGCAGCCACCTCTTCATGCCCTTCGTCATCCTTCTTGCGGAGCACCAGGGACAGCACAGTGGGGAGCAAGGAGTAGCCTGACAACCTTCTACTGACCACTGCACATGTTAGAACCACGAGCTGCCAGGGCAAGCTGGGAGGCACCTAACTTCGTGGCAGCTTTTTAGGCCAAAGATTGCAAAATCTTTAAACAGGATCAAATGACAGCCTTTTCAAAACAGGAAAGTTGCGTGCAAGTCTTTCTTTACTTTCCCCATCTGTTCCATCACTGTGCAGGCAAAACACTTTTTTTTAATCCTCTGAAATGCTATTTCAGTGCTGCTTTGGTCTTGGGCATTGCATTATGCTGCTATTTGCATCCCACTCTTTTTGAACAAAACTGGTTTATTCTAAATTAAATGCTTTTGTCTTCTCCATTAATACTAATAAAAGTGCATTCATTTATTAGTCTGCATAATTTCATTCCTCATACAGCAATGGAGGCGAAGGGGGAGGATTACCTTATCTCTTGAATTTGTGGCACTGTTGCTTTTATTGATAGAGTAGCTGACAATGTTATCGACTCACTACAGTGTTTGTGCTTTTATTGGTAAAATAACAGATAGCCTTATTGTCTCAATTTGTTGTTATAGGAATGACAAAACTGATACAGCAGGAAGAGTAATGAATATGCACTGAACTCATGAATATGAAATTCTGGAATTTTGCTTGTCATAAATAAGGCATTCCACATCCCAGTGTTCATTTCAAGATATATATTTCTTTCTGGTTTTGTCACAGCCTGATAAGGACTACAGCTAATGCTGATGAAGTCCTAGTGTAGAAAAGTAGTCAACAAGGGACAGCATCTGGCAGCTTTATGCAAACAAGACTATGCCATGGCCAATGTTTTGCACTGCTTTAAGTGATGGCGTTGGGGCTGCCATTTGCATTTTTATGTAAAGGCTTGTGTGGATCCCAGCTGTGCCACAGGAAATTTTGACATTTGAGTTCAGTGGCATCCATTGAATAAGAAAGATGCTGTTACAAGGAGAAACTCAGGTAAGGTTCTATATGTGTAAAAGCAAATACAAGTCACAACCAAGACAGGTCTATAATGGTGGACATAACTGTTAAGATAATTAAGGCAGGCATGCCACGTTCTAAAAATTATACTGTGCCTTAGGAATCCAACTTCAATAATCCAAAAAGTGGGGTGTGATTTGGTAACCAAAATAATCAAGCACAAAGGAAGTCCAGGGGCATGGTGGCCGCTGATGATATTAGCTATTACCCAGACCACGGAATAGCATTTTTCTTTCACCATAGCCATATATCACTTGCACATAACCAGGTATAAATATAATTCTCCTATATCTAGACTGCTAGTTCTCTGGACTACTCTTTGGCCACCTAATGATAAGGAAGGACTCACTGGAGAAGAGCCTAATGCTGGGAACAATAGATGGCAAAAGAAGAAGGGGACGGCCGAGAATGAAGTGGCTAGATAGAGACACTGAAGCATGTTGCGTGAGCTTAAGTGGACTCTGGGGGATGGGGAGGACAGGAAGGCCTGGAGGAATGTTGTCCATGGGGTCATGATAGGTTGGACACGACTTTGCAACTAACAACAACAACAAGTTCTCTGGATGCTTGGGGTATTCCATCAATTAGTTCAAAAGATTGCCTGATGTTGTCATGAAGCTCTGTCTATAATTGTCTTCTAGATTTAATTTCTATCTGCTAAACTTTCTTTGCATTATTCTTGAAAGCTGTAAATTCTCATCCTTTTTGGCCTGCTAGCTTGTTCAGTTGCAAAGTCATGCCTGACTCTCATGACCCTGTGGACAACATTCCTTCAGGTAAGAGACACCTGACTGAATTCATATGATGCAACAACTCAGGAAGGATCGTTTTGCTGTGTGAACACAAACCAGTTCCCATTGGGTGGCTTGTTTGAGGGCAACAGCCAGCCTTACAATTTATAGCTTGTTCCAGAGATGGTTGTTCCAAGAGTGGGTTGTTGTGTTGGCTGAACCTAGACATGGGTCCCTGTTGTCCATATCAGGGCTTGGCCAGTGACTTGTCCAGGTATCCACCAGTGCCAGCCTCTCAAGCAATATTTAAGCGGCACCGAAGGAAAGCTAGCACCAGCCTGCTGCCTTCCCTACAATTGCGAGGCAGTTTCATCTTTCTGTGGTTTTTTTATACTTAATTCTCCATTTTCCCCTGAGATCATAAAACCTGTCTGGACAGCTGACTTCTGTGATCCCCATTTGAATAGCTACTGATAAGCCCTTAAAAGTGCCTGAGACCTGTCTGGCAGAACCTTTCTTTTGAAGGGTGTATTTTTTTCTCAACTAGGTTCAGTCTTTATTTCTTTTCCTTCTCTTTTTTTAGTTTAACCGCAGTAGCATGAGTGTTGGAATTTGAAACCTTGGCTGGGGAAATGACCTTGGAGATACTTGCTGCCAAGGTACATTGGACATTGCCCCAAAGAGGCTCAAAATTATTACTAGCCTCCTTTTGTTTCCACTGTTAAAGGGTGAGCTGTCAAGAGAAACCAAAAGCACAAGTGATCTTTGCTCATGAAAAGGAAGAGGTGTTATTTATATCTCCCTTGCAGCAAAATCCTCATTTTTCCTAGCCTGACAGATCTCAAAATGCAGCACAATCTGCACTTTTTTTTTTTGTTTTGAAACTTTAGGTGCTCATGGAAGTGCAAAAGTGTTTCCTGATTTTTCTGCGGGAATGGGCTTTGAACAGCTTTAACAGCTAGCTGTCAAAACTCTAGAACCCTTTAAAAGTTGGTTTCAACAAAGCAGTTTTTTTTAATTGGAAGCTGTAACTGAATACTGTATCCAACGTTAGTCTAACCAGTTTTATTCAGGAAGTCTGCACTGGGTATGACTAACATTGGATACAACCCCATGTATCCTGTTACTAGTTTGGACCTAGCAGAATCTTCTGTACATTTACTTGCAAATGACTCATATTGTATTCAGTGGGGATTAGAATCAGTGTCAACAACATTGGTTTATGTATCTGAGAACAATGCAGAAGATGTTGTTTCTTACAGAGACTGTAATACATTTAGATCCTGCTTTCTTGGTATGGGCTTCATCTTTTGGTATCTAGACATGTTGCCTTCATCAAAATCTTAGAAAGCTTTTCTTTTTATTTCACAGATTATAATACTGTAGTTCCATTCTCTGTGCTCAGAATTATTAAAGGCAAACACACACCCTCCTGGTGTTGCTGAGTGCCACCTTTTATTTCTCCCAGTGATGGATTGCCATTCAGTTCTATGGGGGATACAGTACAATGAGAGTCAAACCTCATCTGCCCCATCCATTGTCCTGCACTTAGTGTTCCTACAGAGCAGTGCAGCTTGCCCACCATAATGCTGGACTTTCTGGTAGCAGTAAAATAAAATCCATTTCCTATGGGCTTTGCCAAAGTATGTGACCAAGAGACAGACTGCAGCATGGAGCTATATGGACAGACTCCATGCTGATCGGCTCCCACTGAGTTATGCGGAGCAGAGCAAATGGGATGTCATCTGGGACACATGGTACATACACTGAAGTCACTGGGACGATGGGCATAGCTCAGAATAAAGGGAGTCCAACCACTTCTCTTCACCTTCGCCGAAATGACTGAATAGCTACTATTAACTTTCAAATAGGCAACATAAAGTATTATTTTATGAACATCAAATAATATTTGAGAGTGAGCCCTGCCCCATTTTGACCCTGAATGGTCCTAGTGTCATCAAGGGAGACCGCATGGGATGTATAGTACTCTGGCACTGTTAGGCTGCATCCAGTGGTGTTGCTTTACTCTTTGATGTAGTGGAAATTTCCATTACTGGGCTAACAGGAGAGGGATTTTTTTGTTGATTTTTCCTCTCCCCTGTGCTGCATATCTCTCACATTATTGAAGGGTCTTCCAACCTTCTGAAGTAGATTTGAGGAGGTGGGCAGCAAAAATGACCTTCCACTTTATTCTGCTGAGGGAAGACTCTGCTGGATCCAAGAGCTTTTCCATCAGTGGAAGGACATCACTGGCTCCCATCCAGCGCAACATGTAGGTCCTCCCTTTCATAACCGCATACAATTACAACATTGCAAAGACAAGAATTTCTCTGACTAATAACAACTTTGACCAGCATTTGTTCCTTGACAGAAATGCCATGTTGGTGAGGAATAGATAATCTGTGTTAAATCAGCTGTAAGCAAAAAGTCTTGCCTTATGTGCCTAAACAGAGGAAAAACCAAATGTGGTATATACAATCCTTTCTTGTTTATTTGGCACTCTCTCCCCACCCCACTTGGATTTGTGGATGGCACTCCTGGATTTTTATTTAATTGATTTGGGAGGTGCAGAGCTTTCAGAAATTAAGGCACCTTTCACAAGCCCAGATTTTTCTTAAAAGCAGTTTCTTTGCTGCCATTGTTTACATGTTCTCTTGCATGCTTCTGCAAAAGTCAATGAACACTGTAAAGTGGAAAAACCAAATAGTATGTTTTAAGGATTTTGTGTTTATAGATATGTTTAATGAATCCTACAGTTGTGCAGATATTGGGGAGTCATAAAAATTACTTGTTTTAGTAGAAAAAAAAAACTAATCATTTTATAACGGGCACTAACTTTATGTATAGGGACATTGATATAATTAATCAAAGTTCTTTAATTGCTGAACTCTCAGGAATGTATTTTAAGAAATTAGATGGGGATACAGTTAACAAATATTTAAACATTTCGTTGCTTTTTAAAATTCTGCTGAAGATTAAGAGTCCCTTAAGTGTATGTTCTATTTATTTGCAGGCCTTAGTTTTGTTGCAATTCTGTCATCAGGTAATATATATATTTTGTCAGTTGTAATAAATAAATTTCTTGATATATTTATCTATATATTGTGTTGTCTGCCATTTGTTTTCATAAGACTTCTGTTGCCCCTTTTATCATTTGGCCTTGAAATGTGGCTTGGCGAAGACCAGTTGTTCCTGGTTTCTGTAAAATCAGAACGTTTTGCTGCCTGAGACTTAGCAGTATGTTTCCCCCACAAACCAATTCAACCTGAAGAATACCCCAAACCAGTCAAACTATTTTGCCACCTGAGAAAGCAACTCTCACAAGCGCCTTTCTCCTTTCCTGGAGGCAAAAATCAATAAAAATTAAGCAATTAACAATTTGGTGCCCCTCACGACTGACTAATTTGCTGACTGAGGTGGCTGTCTCACCCTAATGGTGGAGCCAGCTCTGGGTAGAAATAATACCGAAGATGGCTTAATGAGCTATGGGGTGGGAGCAGCTTTCCTGATTTTTGTAGCCAGGGTGAAGAGACTTCATTTTTCACTTTTCATTTGTCATCTTCTCCCCTATAATTATACCTCATATACATGTAAATATACACCATTGCTGGATTGTGGCCACAGAGAATTCAGGCAGCAGTTGGGATTTAATTCAGAAGCTGTCCAAGCATCCTCACATATTCTCATGGGCCAAAATTAGAAAATGTGATTGTTCATTTTTAAAAAGTCAAGAAAATGTGGCAAGCACATACCAGAATAGCTATCAACAAAGAAGTGTTGATATTCAGTATATAGACTTTCCCAAAATGTGTTTTTTCAGAATTGTAGAAGCAAAACAACTTTGAAGCAAATTGTGTTTTGCTTAAGGTACAATGCTGTACTTGAGTATGTTCATGGCATATGTTTCAAGCTTGGCAGCATGTAGAAAGAGTCCATCCCCTGAACTTATCTACATTGTCCAAACGGCATTACGCAATTTGACCAGATGTGTATCAAATCGCAAGCTTCTGCAAATATTTCTTGACTTGCTAAGAAAAATTCAGAGTATTCTCATAAAAGGTCTGGTTTCAAATGTAAACCACGTGACACTGCTACAAGATTGAGGATAACTCAACTCAGTTAAGAAGCTTAACAGAGTTAGGAAGCAAAACCTGCAAATATAAGCAGAATAAAATAATGCATCTGAAGTTTTAAGAGAAATAACGTGGAAACTCCTACCTGAGCTCTGAGGGGAAAGCTGTTATCACTGTCTGCCAGCCCATCCTCAAACAGTGGAAAGGTTGGGAGAGAAATATCTCTATGCATTTTAGGTATGTAGGAAAACAGAGCACATCATCTGAGTTGAAGACATTTATTTTTACCTTTTGTTCCTCCAGCTTTCTTGTTCTTGAGATTTTTCTGAGAGATACGGCACACAATAAGTAGAATGGCTCAAGATTTCAGTAGCAAAGCATACAGCCCTTCTTACCGTGTCAAGACTAAACTTGGGAGCTGAATAAAAGCCTGAATATGAACTTTGGAAAAATATGCTGCTACTTTTTTATTATTAATCTGCTTACAGAAAGGAGGACTATAATAGAACAATAGGCATATCTTACATTTTCTCAAGGGAATCAGAAACTTTTCCTATTATTTAACTACTAGCTTGGCAGATTCAAAATCCATTGGGAGTTGTCATTGTCTCTGATCTTCACCTAGGCTTGTCTGTTCTGGGCTTGTTTCGTGAGCCGTTTCTTCCTCTTCTGCATAAACTCTGGAAACTTCTTCTCCCACAGGTTTTTGTTGCATGTTCCAATGACACAGCAAGCCAGACGTTTTCCAGCATTCCCATTCTCTAGACTGGCCTTGTTGTTTCCTTTCCCCAGGTCATCTTCCTGCTCATGGATCACAATAGATCGTCCCATTATGGTGTGTGGGCCAAAGAGAGTGGCCATGAGGCTGCATTTATGTTTTCTAATTTTGCCTTCTTTAGAGTTGAAGTTGCCAAAATCTCCAGGATGGTAAGGGTGGTTCACTTTTAAAGGATTGTAGTGTCCTCCTGCAGAGTCACAACTGTCACTGAGGTCTCCATACTGGTGCACATGAATAGCTCTGCCTGTTGAGTTGGCTTCTGTGGAAAACCCATCTACATAGAAAATAGCCTCCAGTTTTCCGTATGGGTAGGTCTGCCTGAAGAGAACTTCCCCTGTTACCTGTGGCTGGCTTGCATCTAGTTTGGTACTAGCTTGTAGTATACAGTTGGCATATGCAGTATGGTTGGCTGCAAGGAACTCCTCATAATGCTGTGGGTAGAGCAAACCCTGCCACAGGTCATTAATTTTTTTCTGCATGTCTTGAAGAATACTCTCGTCATTTCCTTCTGCTTCTGTGACACTGGATTCACAAAGGAGCAAGCCAGCTGTGAGATACAGCAATACACAGCGAAGAAATGCAGAGGTATGTGGCATTGTCTGTTTTTGGGTAAAAGAAATAGACAAAAGATGAGCACCAAGCTAGCATCCATCCATATTTCTCAAAACAATAATAGGCGCATTATTGGTGAGCATTCAAACTGCTTCACGTACATCATCAACATCATTATTGAATCAGTTTAATTAGTTCACAATAGCTAGATATCTCACCTCAATAATCTCCACAAGAACTCTCTAAGGTAGGTCCATGCTACAGAGATGGGAGATGGGATCCAGAACTGATTGTGGCAGTGGTGACCTATAGGGGATTTCTGCCTTGCCATCTTACTGTTTCCCCCATAAAGATCCCCCAACCCTATACAGGCGCCTGTAATTTGTGCCTATACCTTTTCCTTGGCTGCTTTTAAGTAAGAAATAGGAAACAGTAGAACATCCTGACACATACCTTACCGAATCTCATTTGATTTGGTCTTTAGCTGACACACGATGCCAGCTACTTTTGATTATAACAGGACTGGCAATGTTCTGTGGTAAGCAAACACAAACTTTCACTATGTTTGGGAGGAAATGGAATTTGTCCTTTTCCAAAATTGGCACTTTTGAATCCCAGTAGGAAAGTCTGTGGGCTAAAACAAACAAAGCTATGCCTTTGCACAGAATGGCCCGTCTAGATTGCTATCACAGTTTGGGGCCACGGGGAGCCTTTTATTATCAAGATTAGGGGCCCCATATCTACTATAAGAGTTTTTTTTTTTTTTTTTAAAGCAGGTGGATGCAATTCAAAGTCATGTCTGTTTTAGCCCTGTATCTCTCTGGAGGCAGAGAGATCTCCCAAGTAAAATGGGGACAGCAAAGATGCATTCAGAGTGCTTCTGTCACACTAAAAATGCACGTCTGCTTTCACCCTCAGATGATTCTAAATGGAATTGCAGTCTTCCTACCTTCAACGCAGATTCTTTTGGTGAAGATTTGCTTTCCAGTTGGTTGCAACCTCTTCGTACAAATGATGGCAGGCAATCAAGTAGGGATTCCAGACTTCTCTGGAGTTGATGTGTATGTGCTCTGCTTGTTTATGTAACAGTTAGTAATACTAGCTCATGGGAGTGGTTAGTAAAAAGAATGAGGAGATGTGGGGAAAGTGTTAACTGTTAGTTGAAAACCAATTCGGAACCAAACTCTTACAGGTTTTCCAAATAAAACAAACCGAAAAAGGCTGTAACTTACTTTCCTTTCGTTATTTCCTGTGCTGAATGACCTTTCGAATGAAGTGACAGAGAAACAATATTTGTATATGCGTACATTGCTCACTTTGCTCAGTTACTTTTTCTATGCTAATCCACTGATGGGTTCATACCGATCAACTGGGAGGCAATGCTTTTTCTGAATGTAAGCTTCTTTGGAAGTTGTTCTTAAGACCTGTCTTAGCAATGAAACCTGACTTACAGATACAGATTCATATAAACATCCAACTCCAGCCAGTTTGCAAAGGTTTCCTGTGATACACGCAGCTGTGTTTATTGATGTCATTTTGAACCTTGTACAGTTGTGTACATTGGACTGGTTTGTTTGGAACCCAAATTCTTCCACCCTTTTGTGGTATGGGAGGGCTGTCCCACTGCCTGGTTTGTTGACATGCCCCAACTGTAGCAAATTAATGGACATTTGATGCCCCAGCAGAAGAAAATATGTGAGAAAATGTCTGCCAGTAGAAGTAGAAGCTTGTCTGCCAGGAGCCTGAGCAGTTTTAACAGCCTTTGCAGCCATGGACTGCACAGTCTTTTACCAGGGGTAACTGCTTGCCATTGGGTTTGTTGCTCTCATCTTAAGAGCTTCTGCCTATCACTGGCTGAGCTGCTTGGGTGCTAGAGAGTGGCTGGACAGGTGGGAAAGGATGGGTAACAGAAGGGGCTGAGAAAGGAGCAAACCAGAGGAAGTAGGCAATGCTGGGGGAGAGGGGTTAGAAAAGTAGAACTGGGAGTGGGAGCGGAAGGAGGGGAGAACGAGCAGAGGGGAGAGATTTACTAGTCTAAATGCTCAGAGATAAGGAAGACTGAAGTGCACATGTTAAAAATAACTTGCCAAAACTTTGGTTGAAGGCACCAACGATTCTTCACAGATAGTCTAGGAAATCTCTTCATCCAGTGCAACAGCCTTCTCCAGCCTGGTATCCACCAGCTATGTCAGACTGTGACTCCCTTAGTGTTTCAGCTAACATGGCATTTGCCATGCTAGCTGGGGCTGATGGGAGTTGTAGGCCAGTATACCTGGAGGGTGGCAGCATGCATCTTTCAATTACTTTGGGGGATGCCTTTCTCTTACAGGATACTCACCTTTGCTTGTAAATGAGGCACATTAGGGCCTTCTGGGCCTTCAAAACATGCTGAGTGAACAATGGTCTTCGTCCATCTCACAATGCCTACGAGAGGCAAGTATCTCCACCTAAGAATGGAGCAGCCTGAGCTCATACCTCCCTTCCCTCAAACATGCCTTGGGTGGTAAGCCTGCATTTGCTGGCAGACAACCCACCAACATACAACAGCTTCTCGCTATTGATATGTCACATGACCAGTGTAGTGTTGTAGTTGGAGCGTTGGACTCAGAACCTGGGAGACCCCAGGGTAATTGCCTCCAGCCAGCCATGACTCTGGGTAACTCTGGCCCAGTCACTCAATCTCAGCCTAACCCACCTCACACAGTTGTTATTCTGAGAATAAAATGGAGCTATGTAAGCCACTTGGGTTCCTCACAAGGAGAAAATAGGGAGGATTCAAGTCCAGTGTGATAAGGATGCAGACACAGGGTACCAGAACTGCAACAAACCCAACTGCCAAATCTGTCTCTTTATATTGTGAAATATTTTACATACCTCAGTTCATTCATCAACTCAAATGGATTCTGTAGCCAAGAAATTCAAAGAAGATTGAGACTTGGAAGGACAGCAATGAAGGAACTAGGAAAGTGCATCAAGTGTAAGGATGCTTTATCAGAGACCATGGCCAAGATTATCCATACTATGCTACTCCTGATCACTACATATGCATGTGAAAGCTGGACAGCAAAGAAAGCTAACAAAAAGTAAATTTGCACATTTAAATTATGATGCTGGATCAGAGCTTTCCAAATACCCTGGGGACCAACAGAAAGACAAACATGGTGGTTCTAAATCCAATCAAATCAGAACTTTCCTTAGAAGCAAAAATGACAAAACTGAGACTGTCGTACTTTGAGTACATCATGAGAAGACAAAACTCCTTGGAACAGGCAATTACGCTAGGGAATGTAGAAGGCAGAAGAAGAAAAGGAAGACCAAACAGGAGATGGATTGACTCCATAAAGAAAGCCGCCGTCTTGAATTTACAAGAGTTGAATAAGGCTGTCATGGACAGGGAATTTTGGAGAGCTTTCATACATTGGGTCGCCATCAGTCAGAGATGATGTGATGGCACATAACAACAACAAATTTACTCCCGCACAATTACAGGACTTAACAATGTCACTTACAACATCAGGTATCATCCAATGGTTCATCTCCCAATGTGATATATGTTAACTTCTGTCAGCAGTGTCCTTCTACAGTTTGCAAAGGGGAAACAGCAAGTTAAGAATAAATGGACACAAATCTACCACGGGGAGGGGGCACTTCCCCTACTTCACGGGGAGGGGACACTCTGCCACTGACCTTGAAGTGGCCATTCTGAAGCAAACACATTTCAAAGAAAGATAACTTCTGAATTGCAATTTATGAAGAAGTTTGGTAGTATTTCCAGAGGAATGAACATGGATAAAGTTGTTCAGTATAAATCACACTATACCTGTTAATTGGCATTTTAGTGCCAGAATGCTTGTGTTATCAGCTCACCTCATTTGTGAATGGCCACTGTTGATAATCTATCCTTACTGTTAGTACTTTCTGTTCAATTTTCCTCCAACTGCATAATTTACAATTCCACTAGCAGGTACTATATCTAAACATGAAACTCTAGATAACACTGCATGCATCTGATGGGGAGGGCTCTAGACTATGAACATTAGGCCTAATAAACCTGATAATATTTAAGTTTATATTTAAGTTTAAGATAATATTTATTACTCTTTGTACCTTCTGCCACAACTGGCTAAACAGGTATCACTCTGGAACCTCTAAGACAGGTGGTATTATCTCAAAATTTCCAGTGGGAGCCAAAACAGAGAGAGAGCTCTTGGGGGATAATGGAATGGGAGACTTATAAGTCACATTCTTTTCACACTGGACTTTGGATTAATATCTGGTTGAGGCTTGCCAGCTCCCCAGTTGAAACATTCTTGCAATTCCTCTGACTAGTCTGGGCGGAATAAGCCCTTTGCAAGGATTAGAAAAGAGGCAGGAGAAATTTAGCAGGAGCTGGGAGCTACCTAAGGAAAAAAGCAGTCTTATACAACACAAGATTTTTAATGGTCTGCCAATAGCTATATTACAATTTTAACTAATTTTAATTTTCTAAAAGAAGAGGAAAAACAAAAGACTAAACAGCCAGCTTGGGCACTGTGGTACTATAGAAGAAGACAGCTTCCTCCTTCCATTTCCAGCCTAAAATTTCACACCCACACACACACCCTGTAGTTGTGGGGGAAGTGTGTGTAGAAAATTAAAATTTTATTTGGAGGGAAGGAAGGGGAGAAGCTTAAGTTTTCTTTTCCCTAAGTGGCACCATCCTGCTCTGGATCAAGGCTGTGCATGTTTGCAGGACAGTAGGGAGACAGTCACACATAACTCAGCTGAGCATGCTCAAAGGAGCAATTTCTTTGGCCCTTAGGCCAACTATTTCATATCAGCAAAGATGGTGTGCCCGTCTTTACAATGTACTGATTGTTCCAAATGGTTTAAATCACTTCCACTGTTGCTCAAACTTAGCAAGAGACCTGGCCCAGCTACATTTTTAGATGTAAAGTGAAATGCATGTTTCCAGGCTCTTGTATCGTACAGGTAGCCTTGTCGAGATGCTGAGACTGACTGTGGCTCCCTGTTGGGTGTACAGATGGTAGCCAGCCCAAGTAGCAGCTGTCTAATGTCCAGAACGGCCCTAAATGTTCAGCCAGCTTTCCCTGTCTTTTCTGCAGTGATGCATATTGGGGCAGAGTACAAAGAAAAGAAAGAAAAGAAAAGCATCCTAACTTTGCATATACGGTGACTGATGGGGTCTAAACTGGCAATAGCCAACGAGAAAAGAGATCCTGGTGTTGTGGTGGGTGGCATAATGAAGAATAACAGCAGTGTATGTGACAGGTTCCTCAGGAAATGTCATGGAAGGGATTGCATTGAACTGCCATTATAGGAAGGGCCATTAGTTCAGTGGCTTAAAAGGCAATTGTCCCAGCTTCACTGTCTTGCTGGAAGGGCAGGAAGAGTCTCTGCAAGATAGTGATGGCAACTAGTGCTGGTCAGGGTACCCAATATTGACCCAGATGGATCCACATTAAAGCGTCTTCCTAAATCTCTGGTTTAGCTAAATTTGGAGCACTGTGCACAATTATGGCCACCTCATCTTAAAAAGGATAACTGAAAATGGGGAAAAGTGAAAAAAGGGGGAAATACTCCCTCTATGAGGAAAGTTAAAGCATTTTTTTTAAGCTTCAGCTAAAGACAGAGAAACATAGGAAAAAAAAGTGAGTCAGAAGGGGTCTCCTGGGCCATCTAGTCTGATCCCCAGCTCCAGCTGACACCACTTGTGTAATCCCCAGCATGTGGTTGTCCAATCTGTCCTTGGACACCCTCACTGAGGGGCCTCAACCACCCCCCTTGGAAGCCCATTCCATATCTCAGGGGTCCTAACCATCAGGAAGTTCTTCCTGACATCCAACCTGAACCCTGGTTCCTCGAACTTTCCCCCATTGGAATGCACTGGAATGTGTCCTGCCCTCCACTGCAGGGAAGAACAGCTCACGGCCCTCCTCCACATGACATCCCCTCACATTCCTATGAGTTGCCTAAAGATCCCCTTGGAGTCATCTCTTCTCCAGGCTTAAAAGACCCAGTGCCCTCAATCCCTCCTCACATGTCATCCCTCCCAACCTGGCTACCATGCTTGCGACCCTGTGCTGGACCAATTCTAACCTAGCTATGTGTCTCCCATAATGTGAAGCCCAGAACTGGATGCAGTACTCCAGCTGTGGGCTCATCAGAGTCATGCAGAATGGCATCAACTC